GCGATTTGAGAATGTTATCTCATCCCTGCAACCACATGAGTATAATGAGCCAAGGAAGAAACATTGCATTTGAATTCCACCACCTCGTTTGTGCAACCAAGATCAAGAAGAGAATATGGAGGAATGGGGAGCGGGGAGGGAGGGGGGGGAAAGGGAGGGGCTGATGCCAGGGGCTTAGGTGGAGAGCAAATGTTTTGAGAATGAGGAGGGCAATGAGTGTACAAATGTGCTTGACACAATTGATGTATGTATGGAGTGTGATAAGAGTTGTATGAGCCCCTAATAAAATGATTAAAAAAAAGAGTTACGGGCTCAGAAAACCCCAGGGGCAGCTCTCTAAGGGCAGTGAGTTTTAGTTCGCTCGACACAACGTCTTCCAGCTCCATCCACATTGAGGCTGGTATTGTGACCTCACTCTCCCAACGGGCTGAGCTGGAGAGCGGAGCGTGTGCACTGACATGCGCTCTGTGCTTTGGGGATCTTGTCACCTGCTGACGGGCATTTACTCTGTTTTCACTGTCTGGCTGCTGTGAGCAGCGGCAGGGTGAGGGTGCCTGCGCCTCCCTTTGAGTCTCTGCTCACAGGGTTTTCAACAGCAGCGATTCTCCAGCAGCTGGTGGCCAGACAGCTCTTCCAGGGTACTGCCTTGCGTGCTTAACCGGCTTAATCAGCAGCCAGGCACGTGCACTGCTTCCATGGCCCCGGGACTGACTCCACGGGGTGATAACTAAGGATCAACAAATGCTTGTGAGGCAAACAAAATTTATGTATCCCACACTATACACCTCAGGCCATTGGTTACAGTGCTGGGCCACACTCACACAGGCAGCCCCAGCAGTGCAGGTAGGGAGAAGGGAGGAAATGAACCGCCACCCCCACCGCTGGACCCCTCCATCAGAGAGTAAGTTTCTGAGCCCCCTTGGTGCAGTTTCTGAAGTCATCCCCAGAGGTCCTCTGCTCCTTTGCTGGGCTGTACCAGGCTCCCTCCTCCAGCAGCCTCCTCCGACTCACCTCCCTCCCTCTGGGCTCTTGGCAGTTCCCACACTCCTCCTCTTCCACGGCAACACCCCAGATCATTTTCCCACCAAAATGAGTGGGGGTGGGGGCTGATTGGATTTGCATTCCCGAAACTTCCTAGCTCCGGAAGAAAGGGTGCCCATGGATGGCTTGGGCTGGAAGGCTGGGGGCGGGCTTTCATTCTGGCCCTCCTCTGCCCTCCCTGGGGGCTTTCAGGAAGCTGGAACCCTCAGCCCTTTGCTTTTGTTCCAAAGAATCGCCTGGTAAGGAAGGGGAGGGTCATCTGGAGTCCCCAGAGAGGCTTCCAGGAGGGGCTGCCCCAGGGGCAGGGGGTAGGCATGTCCAGCTCTTCTCAGGAGCCCGCGCTGCAAACCCCGTCTGGGTCCATCTGGGATCTCCTTTGCAGCAATTCCTCCGCCAAGCGTGGCGTGTCCCCAGCTGGACTGATCAGGGGAAGGGGGCAGAGATCCGAGAGGACACAGACTTCTCCGGGGACTCTCCATAGCTTCTCCTGGCCCAGCCTCCTGCCTCGGCCCCTGGTCACCTCTTCTCCGTCCATCCCCTGCCCTCCCAGAGGAGCGCCCTGCTGAGGAAGCCACCTTCCTGAAACACGGGTGGTCTGCGCCCTCTGGCGGTGCCTGGAAAATGCTCACCCCGCCTTCCCCCTGCCCCCAATTCACTGCCACCGGGTGGCCTCCACTATGGCTCCTAGTAGAACTGCTCCTGTGGGCTTCTGAGACCGTCAGTCCTGCCAAGAAGAGCAAGCCTCCTCATTGTCCCCCGGAGTGGCCGGTGGCTTTTCACTGCTGGCCTGGTGGTTCCCAGCCCAAGGCTTGACCCAAGGCCCCTCCTGGTAAATCTCTGGTTCTCCTAAGAGAGAGCGTTTGCTGCCCCTGAGCCCCAGCCGCGTTCTAAGTGGCCCCAATACTTCATTTCTTCATGTGTAAAATGGAGCCCATGCCCAGAGCTGGCACCATGCCAGGCGTGGTGAGTACACTCACAGCCAGATGTTCAGATGCGTCCTGTGCAGCACTCTGCAAACTGCAGGGGCCCCTTGCCCAGCTCCCGGTGCTGGCTGCCAGCCACCCTCCACTCAGCTCTCAGCCTCAGCTCTGGGTCTATGGGAGCCTTAAGCCCTGTGGGTCCGGGACTTCAACCTGAGCATCTGTTTTCTCTCTGGTGAACCGGCATATTGACTTCCAAGAAGCCTCAGGGTAGGACGATCTCTTGGCATTGCCCCTCATGCCAGGCCGTGGCTGAGCCCGGGGCCTCAGATTCCCAAGCTCAGCCAGCTGCACACACCTGGCTCTCTCCCGGGGCTGCCACAAGTCTGTTCCTCTGGCATCTTGGGCACGCCGATGATGGCCCCTTCCCTGCTCTGCCCTAGACGGAGGTGGACGAGAGAGCCCTCACCCTCGCCCCAGGGACAGTGAGGAGAGCCAGGTGTCCGGGTTTGTGTCTGCCCGCAGTGGCAGCTGTGGGGCTGAGAACCGCCTGGCTCTGCGTGCTCAGCACGGAGCTTTAATTGAACGGTGTGTGTGTGTGTGTGTGTGTGTGTGCAACTTCGCTTGCCTTTTCCTCTCCCTGCTCCCCACTTACGTTCCAGCTGTCCCCAGAGTCTGTCGCTCAGACTCCTCTTTCCAACCCAGAGACTTTGGAAGTATCCCACCACCTCCTCAGCTGCTAAAGCTCAGGGAGGGTGAGTGACCAGTCCAAGGTCACAAAGCCAGCTGGGCCCGTCTCGGCCTGTCTGGAACGCAGACTCAGGGGCTGTTCCTCTCGGCTCTGTCACAGGTGGGAGAGGAGGGCATGGAGGGCCAGTCTGGGTGTACCCCTGGGTGTTGCACCCCACTGCCCATCCCCCATCCGGGATCCAGAGATACTGAACAGCAATCCACTTCTTGCCCCCAGGTCCTTCCTTGCCCTCTAACTCCGCACCTCCCTGCCTCCCCCTGCCTCCTCACATGCCCCCACCCAGGGGCACACAGCAGGGTGGGGAACAGAGCTGGCCCCTCTCTGAGCCTCCCCCCAGGCAAGACTCACCGAGGCCAGCGAACTGCCCACCGCGGCCACCACCGTCACTGCTGCCAGCGTCCAGGGCAGGAGCCACCTCATGCCTGGACGGCAGCGGCAAAGACGTCCAGCCAACAGCCCACCGGTCTAGCCACCTCTGGGGGGAGCTGGCTCCACACTGGCCCATCAGGAGCCCCAGCTAAGCCTCTTCCCCCGCCCCCCCAGGGGGGGGCTTTTTATTAAAGCAAGATCTGACGTCAGGGTTAAGGACAAGCCCAGCATTTTCCTCTGAAAAAACTTTCCCTGCCTCCCTTTTTTTTTTTTTCTTCCCTCTTTCTTCCCTCTGTCCCCACCTCCAGCCCAGCTTGGCCAGCCTCCCTGCCCTGACAGCTCTTAAAGGGAAAGTGACAGCCTGGATCTCCTACGGGGAAGCCCAACCGACCCCCAGGATCTGGGGCCATCTGTGGATGGGTCTCACCAAGGTGGGGCGGGGAACTCAGTGGGCGGGAGTGGGGTCCAGTGGTTATAGGGGGTGGGGTGGGGTGGGAGTGCCTTTGAAAGGGCTCCTAGCAGCAGAGAGACAGAGTTCTCTCCTTGCTCCTGCAGGCAGCCTGCTTCTGTTTCTCATTTGCCTTCCTCCCCTTCCCTCTCCCTCGCTGCAGCCCGCATGGCCTTGAGACCGCAGGCTGAGCCAAACATGCGCTGCTTCTCCCCTTTGCTGCAGCACCCAGCTGTGTGCCAGCTGTGGACGGTCCCTAGTACAGTCCTCACCTCCCACGCCAGAGGCCGGCGCTCCTGTCCTGGCCAGAGCACCTTATGCACACCCACGGCCCGCCTGCCAGTGGAGGCTTCTCTCTTGATATGATGCTGGACAGGTTTCCTGGCCAAGTGGGCCTTCCAGGCCAGGAAGAAAGGCCAGGCAATCTAATTCCAAAAACCAGCCAGTCGAATTCCTGTGGAGCACTGTGTTCATTCAGGTTTCTCAGAGCTCCGTTAAGACCTACCTCGGAATTCCCCTTGATGAGATCTCGAGATCTCCTGGTGTGTGGCCTGCTTCCCACATAAGCGAGTGCTGTGGAAGAGCTTGCCACTTAGGGCTCATTATCTGAGCGCCGGATTCCTGAACTTAGAGCCAGCTGATCCTGGGAATCATCAGTAACCTGCCGTCTTCGGATTCATCAGCCTCTGCAGGGATGGGGCATGAGCCAGAAGACACCTCTAGCCTGGCATCTGATCCACAGAGTTGGAACTTGCTGGCCTCTACAGTTGTGTGAGCCGTTTCTTTGCTGTAAGCCTATCTGCATGCATCCATGTATCTGTTTCACAGAAGACCCAGTGAGGACTGCCATGGCTCCACCTCCAGCTCTCTTAGTTCTCTAGTGCGGCTGTCTGGGAAACATCACGAGTGTGGGCCATTATAAATGTGTCCTCTCCGTTTAGGAGGCTGGGGTCTGAATTCAGGTACCAGCTCTAAGGCATGGTTTTCTCTCTCACTCCGTTCTTATTTCCCTTCCATACCTGTGGGTCCAGCGTTTCTTAGAGACCTCCATGTGTCCTGGCACCAATCTTCCCCTGGGTCCAGGAGGTTCTCCGCTCAGGGACCCTGGGCCCAAAGGACAAGCTCCACTCCCAGCTCTGGTTTCATGATGGCGGTAGGCCCCATGGGTTTCTGCTCACGTGTCTCAATCTCTGTTATATCTCAAAACGGGCTGACACGGTTGGATACAGTCTAATTCTGTAGTTCGCCTCCTGATTCATTAACATAACTGCCTGTCACCATTAGTTTCATAGAGGTCAAGATTGACAACACAGGACGATTACATCAGATCACAAATGGAAAACCATTACCTACTCCTGAGTGTCGTGGCCTAGCCACGTGGCTATCTGTTTTAGGGGAAATAAATCAACCCATCACGAGGATGGCATAGGTCTTGGCAGCATCTTGTCGCTTCCTAATCTCTCTTCTGACTGCAGCCTCTCTGGTTCTCCTCATGTGGCCTACAACTGTCCAACAACCCTGCCTCCTGCCACCAGCAGGCCCAGACAGCCCCTCAGGAATGGTGGGAGTTCTCTGGGTTGGTTTCTCCAGTTAGTTAGTTATCACGGTAGGTGGCTGAGTATCCACAGGTCTGCCGCTGTGTGACCTGGGAGGAGTCATGCAACCTCTGTATTCTGGTTTCCTTGTCTAGCAAGGGGGCTGGCAGAGGCACTGGTCACTCTCAGCAGCTCTGAGTCAGAGGAAGCACCATGCTTGAGTTCCTGAAACCGGCGAGAAATGAAGATAGAGAGAGAGACGTTGTCTCTCGTACTTCAGACATGTTATCAGGAAGGACCGGTCCCTGGAGAAGGGCATCAGGCTTGGTAAAGTAGAAGGCCAGTTAAAAAGAAGAAGACCCTGGATGAGACGGGTTGACCCAATGATTGCAACCATGGTGTGATCGTTAGGGGTTTATTTTTGTGTCAATAGAGCACCCGTAAGAAGATATGGGTGGAATCTAGCCTGTCAATCAGGTCACAGCCTGATGATGACTCCTCGTGGGCATGACCTTCTCATAAGGAGGATCCTGGGAACTTCTTTCTCTCTCTCTCTCTCTCTCTCTCTCTCTCTCTCTCTCTCTCCTTCACCTGCCTGCCACTGAGCCACTCGGAGACCTGCCAGAGCCCTGGAGATGCGTCCACTGCCATTGGATCCACAAGACGTTGCACCCACTGCCCGGTGATCTTCCTGCGTTTTGCATCATTGCGTGTGGTTGCGTGAGTCTGAAGAGGGACTATGGACTAGTATCAGACTTATGGACTTGGTCGGAACCAGGCTGGGATGCTTTCCTGAAACATAATGGCTTCTTAACACTCTCTCTTGCACACACGAGTGGCCCTGGGTTTGGTCCTCTAGTCAACCAGCCTGGCACACATGGCCCAGACATAGCAGTGGCTGGGAGGATGGTGCAGGCCTGGGCAGTGTTTCCCTCTGCTGGGCATTGGGTCACTGTGAGTCGGATCCAACTGCACAGCACCCAACAGCTACAAAGCACATAGGAAGTGCCCACAACCCCCACCAGCTCAGCTCAGAGGAGCTTGGTTGCTCCTTGATTTCTGGGTGAGAGGCGCCTCCAGGGCAGGGTTTAGAGGAGGCCCTCTCTGCGTCTGGGGTCCCAGTAGGTGCTTGACAAATGTGCAGAGGAGGACAGGGGAGCTGGCAGTGGTTGTGGGGGACCAGGTTCCCACTCACCTCCGCTCCGCCTCTCCCAGCCTGGGGTCCCTGCAGCCAATCTCTAGGGAGGTTCCTTCCAAGCCTGGGAAGAGCTTCCAGCAATTACTCCAACATCCCTCCCAACGCAGCTGTAAATAAATCCCAAAGAGGGGCTGGTGGAGGGGGTTTTCCTTGACCGAAACCAGATGGCCCAGCAGATTCCAGGGACCGTATCAGAAGAGGCGTCCAGGCCCCTGCACCCGCCATCTGTTCAGAATCTTCACACAACCTAGGGATCCTTTATTTGCCCCACAGACCCCTTCTCCTCCAGCCCCGAAGCCCCTAGAGGGGTGAGATGGCGGAGCACACCTGGGGACATCGACAGAAGGGTGGAGGGAGCACCTAAATGACTGTCTATGAAAATTGCGTGCCGTGTTTTAGCAGAAATTCCTGCTCTTTAATAAACGTATCCCCGTGGTTGTTTATAGATAGCAGTCAAAACATTTTTCGTAATCCAGTTTATGTGTATCAGTAGACCTACAAGGCTATAACCTGGTGCTACGTGACTTTTTGAAGTTGCTCATTGGCTCCAAAAGAGCCCTGGTGGTGCAGCAGGCTTCCCAGTGGACCGCTAGGCACAAAGTCAGGCGTTCGAAACTACCAGATGCTCCAAAGGAGAAAGAAGAGGCTCCCGACTCTTGTAGAGAGCTACAGTCTCGGAAATGCCCAGGGCCGTGCCATGCTGCCCTCGGGGGTCGCCGTGGGTCGGAGTCGACTCGGTGGCTGTGAGTGTGGTTTTCAGGACGAGCTCCGGCCAGCGGGGCTTTGGACCCTGTGGTTTTGTTTGCGCTGCATGCACGCACACACTGCTGTTTGAAAGGCTGCTGACTTTGACTTTGTCAAATCGTCTCATGCTTAAGCTACACCGTTGTGATCATCGGTATTTACCAACTGATATTGATAACTTTTAAAAACGGAAGTAATGATTAAAGTAAAATGAAGAGGAGGGGGAGTCTCCCACCTGGTGACCAATAAAGTCACTAAAGTGTAATTAAACGCAGAACGATTTTACAACACAATCCTGTTGCTAGCCTTCGTGAAATCTAAGAAATACCACGCGATGCGATTGACAAGTATATTGATCGCATGCTAAACCCACTGCCGTCCAGCCGATTGCAACTCACAACAACCGTACAGGACAGAGCTGGACTGTCCTATAGTCTGAACATCTCTGTGGGAGCAGAAAGCCTCATCCTTCTCCTGCAGAGGGGCTGGTGGCTTTAAACCGCTGACCTTGTGGTGAACAGCCCAATCAAGTAATGCACTATGCTGCCAGGGCTCCCATGGCATATGGGTCTATGATGACAGTGAGTGGGCAGTGAACATTTCTAAGGGTTCCGTATGACCTGGCATGGGAGGAAAGAGGAGGTCCGTCAGGCTGGGGGTAGGGGTGACACCAATAGTTAACAGGCTAGGTGGCATCAGCCTTCTGGTTGTCATGCAGCCCCCTCTTTTAGATGAGTCCACACAGAACCATCAAGGCAGGGGGTCTGGAGTGGCAGCTGATGAACACAACTTAGCTAACTTTCTATGGTCCCAGGGACTAGGTTATTGTCCTACACCACGACCACCCTTCCCGTGTTTCCAGGGAGCAGCACGTGAGGCCACCACTGCCTGGGACCTTGTTGTCCCCAGAACACTTGGTGGCTCTTGTACTCCTCTCTTACTTCTGTCACCGCTTCTTCCACGCGGAATGGTTTTCTGGGTTCTTGCCCATTCTAAGCTGTGCTCCACATGCGGGCACAGCCGTACGGCATTGTAACCCTGGCACTGGTCACAAATGGTCACAGCAACTCCTGGGGATTGAGCCCTTGTGCACGCCAGCCCTGTTTTCTAAGGTCCTGTTCCATGG